CACACACACACACACACACACACACACACACACACACATACACACACACACACCTCGCTCTGCCGCAGATGCTCCCAACATCTTTACATGAGAACTACAGATTTTTCATGAAATGTACAGATTTCTAAAGGTCAGGACAGAAGTAAAAGGGGCACGCAGGTTTATGAAATCAAACATAAAAGATATTCTAAACTGTATCAAATGATGCAGATTAAAAAGGTTTACTCCAGTTTTTAGATATACTGTCTGAAATGCAGGTCCACACTTAATGTAAACAAAGCTGATTCTGCAAAAACAATGTGGACGCTTGAGTCACGTGACTGATCTACATCAGGCTGGATGTTGTCAAATATGTCTGGTATGTTTGACTTTACTTTAGTCAGTTCTGCTTTTATTGTAAACAAACGCATGTGGTAGTTGATATTCAGTCACAAAGTTCACCTACAGATTTTTAATTTAGGAACACGTTAATCATTATGAGAAAAAAAACTGCCGATTTTGCTTTTTGCCTTTTGATATTATGTCTGATCTTCATGACGTTGTAATAAATACCTTTTAAATCAGTTTTTCTTGTTCAAAGAGCTATTTCCAAGTAAGATATTTATTATTCATAACACTTCCACTGAACCCCACTTCAAAATATCTTAACTATTCTTTTAAACATCAATCACTATTGTGCTTAAGTTCCTAAACAAAATAAATAAAATAATTTTTTTTTAAAAAAGGAGAGCGTGATAAAACTTCTGATATTGCAGGCTTCTTTTTGATTTGATCTACAGGGTTACTGCTTCTGTATTCTAAAAAAAAATACATCCATATATGGAGAGCCATTTTATTCTAAATGAAATAACTAAATAAATCCTGTAATTTATGAAGTATATAGTAGTATAAATACATGTCCCCAAGAAATAAAACAAAATCCATACATTAAAACATTTTTGCATGTTTATTTATTTATTTAAAGACTTATTTCAAGATTTTTTACATCTAAAATAAATTTTCACCTTATTTTTTAATTTCAGGATTTGTTATATTTCTAAATACATTTCAACGTGTTGTTTATTTATATTGTGGTTTTATAAAAGGGTTAAACTGGTAAACGCTTGAGCTCTGGATTCGTCTGCTTCCTAACATCAGGTGATGAACAGAAAATAAAAACAGCAAAGAAAAACACAGACATAAACAAACCAAGACTTGCACAAACTTTTTACACAAGTGTGAACAACACAATTATCACACCAAAGTATTAGTACTAGTATAGTTTAGTACTAATATAGTACTAGTATAGTACTTATAAGAACAGAGCATTTTGTTCATTTCTTGGTAGAAACTCACTGCAAAGACATGATCTGAAGGAAACTTTTAGAAGTTTCTCTCCAGCTCAAACCAACTTCTGTATTTTGACTTGGTACATTTACTGTGAGCATGTTTTTCCACAGACATGTCTTCCCCTTTTCAAACGGGAAGCTTTGAGCGATGATCATGACTTGACACATAATACTTCTACTGCTGTTCTCTTGAGATTTTAACCACACCTCTGTCGCTCTGCTACTCTGCCAACATGTCAGCAGTCTGTTAACCGCTCCACCAGAACAGATAAGATGTTGGATTTCTTCTACTCAGATGGTTGGAGATGCAGCTCCTTCAGCTTGTTTCCTGTGCTCTGGTTAAAAACTAATTTTGTTTTGTTGTTGGTTTTCAATTCAGCCGGACATGTTGAGCTGGAAGTTAAGATTTCTGTGTCATGAAGTAGGCTCTGTTTGAGCGTGGCTAGAAGGATATTTTTAAACACAGCGTTGTTACAATGTTTTCTGGTTTTTTCTTAATTTTTCATCTTATCATAATTCTGTTTGGTGGTTTTACATTAAAAACCCTGGGTTGTTGAATTACATGAAATTTTAAAGACTCGACCATCATCCTTCACATCAATCAGTACACTGCACTGGGCTGACTGAAAGTTAATATTTTAACTGTCAATATGAACCAGGATGTTTATTATGGGATATATTTCAGCTCAAGTTGATCATTCAATCCAATAAACATTTAGTCTGTTATGTTGCACAGTTTTAGCGGAGAAACCAGTTTCACGATCCTTCACAAGTTAAAGCAAATTTAAAAAATGGATGAATGGAAAATAAATATTGGTTGTTGCCTTTGGATTGTAATTTTAAGTAAAATTCTCCCATTTAATCAAAACTCAGTTAATTTTTTTTCTCAAATTATCACTGCACGATTAACACCCCTCCCCCCAAAAATAGAAGAAATTCACTTTAATCCGGATCACGTTTACAAGCATATAGTCCATATTTTGTGCCTTCAGTCACGAAGCTGCAGACTGAAGATTAAAAAGAGTGAAATATACGACAACATCAGAAACATAAACTGAATTAATAAATGTTAAATGAACTGAAATTCTTATTGTGGCAATGATGTTTTAAAATAATTTCATTTTCCATTAAAGCAACCTGCTGTTCTTTATTAATGAAGTCTAGAGAAAAACTGTTTTTTTGTTTGACTAATCAGAAAACGGATCAAACAACGTCTGGAACATGCTTTCTCACCACTGTAGTACTTGTTACATCTAAAAAGAGCTTTAGGTTTATCCTCGTTATGTTGAACTTTATTTGTAATTTACTCTTCAGACCACACAAGTTTAGTCGTTATTTACATTTTTAAAATTTCCATTACACGCAAAACAGACAAAAGTAAAACGATTGACAAAAATAATTTTCCTCCCACCTTCACCAGGAAGAATGACACTCCGTAGGTTTTCAGGGACCTGGCCAGCTTCACGTAGCTCACTTTGGCCTCAATCTCTGTCATGTTCTGATAGTTTTTATGTGCCTGCAGAGAAGCAGAGCCACTTACTGCATCACTGGAAACGCTTTTACATCCTCTAAATATCAATCAGATATTTCTAATGATTATTTTAATCTTCAACAGATTCGCTCTTACCTGGAAAATCTTTTTCTCTCCTTTGTTCTTGATGTATTCTTTAGGCAGGAACTCTTTTAAACTGGGGAGGACAAAATTGAGCCAGGATCAAACAAGAACCGTGACAGTTTTGAGATTGCCACCTCCCTTCAGAACCATCGGATGAAAATAATGAATGTAACATGGCAACAAAGTGGTGTTAAACACAAAGCCAAGTGCTTACTCTAAGAATCCAGGTTTGTGTTTGGACTCGTTGTGATCGCCGAACTGAATCTGGCACTGATAACCGGCGAACTCACACGCCTTGTCAAAGGAGACGGGATGGGATCCGTTCAGAATGTCATCACGAGCCTGTAGCGCACACACGCACGCACACACACACACACACACACACACACACACACACACACACAGAAACAGAACATGTTGTGACTAAAAAGTTTAAGAAAAAAGTCTAATGAATTAATGCAGATCTTAATATAATCATGTCTGCGTAAAACATAAAAACAAAATAAAATTGGAAGTAATTAAAGGGATCCCTGATTAGTTGGAACATTAGAGTTTATTTGACAAACATATATTTTAACTGTAAAATAAAGACAGTAAAAATACTGTAGACTGTTTAGTTTTTATAATTTTAAAAAATATATTTTAACACCATTTTATTTACACACAAAGCATTCTGGGTAAATGATGATGGGGATAGGTCAACAGTGCGAGGTTGCTAGTGAGCTATATCCACCCTGAATCTTGGACAATATCTGATGATCGACTCTTTTAAATGAAACCAGAGAGCGTTGACAYAGAGGAGAAGGTAGAAATGACAGTCTGTAACTGAAAATATAGATGGAGGACAACAGAGCTGCTTCATGGAAGAAGAATTTCAGCTTAGCCTGTTAGCATTTGTGCTAGCGCCAACGCTATTTTGCCTTGTAAGTATTAGCTCGGTGCTACTGCGACAAACAAGCTAAACTGWMGTCCTCCATCRATATTTTCAGTTKCAGGCTGAGTCATTTCTACCTTCTCCTCTCTGTCAACGCTCTCTGGTTTCATTTAAAAGAGTCGATCATCAGATATTGTCCAAGATTAATCTTCAGGGTGGATATAGCTCACTAGCAGCCTCGCTCTGTTGACCTATCCCTATCATCATATACCCAGTATACTTTGAGTGTATATAAAATGGCCTTGTCAGTGTAATTTATTTTTAAACTTTTAGTTTAAAAATTATAAAAACTAAACATCCAACAGTATTTTTACAGTCTTTATTTTACAGTTAAAATGTTTATTAAATAAAGTCTAATGTTACAACTAATCATGGATCCCTTTAAAGCCAAGATGACCTTCCAGGTATTTGTTGGGAGTTGTTACCTGAACATAGAGCAGGTTGAGCTGAACGGGGTCTCTGGAGTCCACATTCTGGTCCGAGTAGAAGAACTTCCTCCTCAGCAGCAGCATCTCTGTCTCCTCCACACCTTGCTCCCTCAGTGTCCTGCCATGGTCCAACCAGTTCACTGAAAACAGGCACCGGTCACATCAAACAACGCAGCGGCACCCAAACACAAATCAGTCCGAGATAATCTAAAGTAAACTTCACAGATTGTGTCTAAATCCACTGGTAAACGTTTTATTCCACTGTTTTCATTAACAACATACTGGATTTATTCATGTATATTTTATAATACTAGAAATTTAACCCTAAAAATCATCCACGAAGTAGAGGGGCAGTATTATACACAGGTTATAGTTAATGAGATCTTTAATGCTTTTTAAGCTCAAAAAATTATGATCATATTATACTCCAGATGAATAAATTACGGTACTTTAACTCCACTTCCTTTTCCACATATTTTATCTACTCATGAATTTCTTTTTTTTAAATATAAATAAATAAATAAATAAATAAATAAATAAATAAATAAATAAATAAATAAATAAAAATACTCGTGAATTTCTAATATTCCTGATACGAGCTCATCAAACAAGCCTTTCAGCTGTACAACATAAACCAGTTCAAATCAAACCGCAGCACTGGAATATTGCTTTATGAAGTATTTTCCATGACAGCCCAGTAAATAAAGTGTGTGTTAGACTGAGGGGCTCTTCTGTGCCACTTACACTCATCGTCTGTGTGAAGCTTCTGTTTCAGCTTCTCCATCTTCTTGTCATCTCTTAGAAGAGTCTTGTCTCTTTTCAGTGTTCCAGTGATTTCTTCCTTCTTCTCCTCGCCAATGTCTCGCACGAGTGAGTATTCATCGTAGTTTGTTATTCCTGACACCCAGATTGAGCTTATTAATGCATCTGTTTTACACTTTGCATCCAGTTCCATCATATGTGTGACAGAGCAGGAGTGACTCAGATCAACAGAGTTTTAATCTCATCAAGACATTTCAGAGTTGTTCAGGTGATGTTTACGTTGAACTGACCTATTCTAGCACAAATGGTCATCAGCATGTCGCTGACGATCTTGGAGTCGTCCACCATGACAGTCTTCACCGTCCCGTCCAACATGCGGATCTTCAGAGGCCTCTGCTTCTTCTTGTACTCCAAAGTGTCCTGTGAGACAAAGACAAGTGTTTGACCAATCTGTTTGAGAGCAAGGACGTCATTGGTTCATCCAGTTCAACACAGATTTTACACCAGACTGTCTGTATGCTATTTAAAGGACATAAAAGGATTGACGAACATAACCTCTCTACTGCCCCCCCAGAAATGACTACTATAGGGAAAATCTGCTTAAATGATCAAATGATCAAAAACAATAAATTAATACGTTCTCGTTTTCAGAAGGAACTACGAACACGACCAGATATTATCAAACACTGGGACTGTTTTATGGATAAAACATCCTGGGAAAAGGTCTGGACTCTTTCAAACTATTTTTTAATAACTAACAAAATTAAAGAAGTCACCTATAAAATTATTCATAAAATCTACCCTTCAAAGATCTTCATAAAATCTAGATTCAAGAAAGAACTTGATATTAACTTTACCTTCCGTAATTCTTGGCCTGAAACTGTAACCCATTTATTTTGGCTTTGTCCCTTCGTCAAATCATTTTTGGCAAAATCTTTGTAACTTCATACACAATAATATAAAAACACATTTTTCCCTTTATTGGAAATATGTCTTACTTGGTCTCACTAATTACACTTGTAATAATCCAGAATTTCTCATTAATCTATTACTGGTTTTAGCTAAATATCATATACACTGTTCCAAATACTTTAAAAGGAAACCTTGTTTTACTGCTTTTTACAATGAAGTTAAATACTATATTCGAACAATTAAAAACTGACAACAAACTTGCTATTAAAACTAATGAAATCTGTACTATGTTAAATGTATTCATGGACCCCTAAATCCTTTTTTTAATTTTTTTTTTTTTTGTCGTTCTTAATATTTTTATTTTTACTGTTCTGTAATTCATACTATTCCATGTTTTGTATTCGCACATATCTGACGTATGCTTTCAGACTGTCTTCTTGTAATTGTTGTTTTGACAAATAAAGTTGAGAGGAAAAAAATAAAAATTTACACCAGACACATGTTGTCATCTCTCTTTGGTGATTGTTTTGTGTTCAGTTCTTGAACTAAAAGCATTTTCATCATATAAAAAGGTGCTTTTGTGCCTCAGTCCAACTCACCCCATTCCTTAACATGTAGTAGTCCAGGGCCTTTCCAGCATCCAGCCAGATGCCTTTCTTTGGGTCTTCATCGGACAAGAAAAGCCCGTAGTCGTTGGCTTTAGAGACAGAGAACAAATGATGAGCCACTAATTTTGCCAAAAGATGCACCTGCAGGCATTTAGCTTGAGGAGCGTCAGATGTTCGGTTTTACGACGTCCTCTTTCAGCTGGGGACTTTTTGGGTTCAAGGAGAGTTGTTTTTGTTTTATTTTTACACAACGTAAATTTCATATGCTTCTGTAAACTTCGTAAGCAGCATGCAGGTGACCGCGATGATTTTGTGATACCAGAGGAAGGCACATAAAGAATAAGCTGTGCCGGCGTGGATAGAGGGGGTGGAAGCAATTTTACAGCTTGTTGTGTGTTGTTGTCATAATGTCCAGTCCTGGTCAGTTTGAAACCTTTGTTTACGTATGTAAATTTTGTAAACGTCCATAAGCTTAATGACTGGGGGGTGCGGGCAATGCCCTCTTCCAAAATCTACCCTAAAAGCCTGTGTACCTGCAGATGAGATGGTGCTGCATTAACATTCTTGGACTCACAGTCCTATGCTGTTGCACAGTAACACACAACTGTAAAATAAAATTTAACAAATACCAGAAATACTATCATAAAGAGTTGAACTTAAAAGCAGAAGTTTAACAGCACAGCACTCAGTGGAAGTAGTGAGGTTCAGAAGTTCAGTGTCCCGATGGTTTGTGGATTCTGCCCTGCTGTTTTTAAATCTGCCGTTTTAGGTAGAGACGAAGTCTACCTCCTGAACCTTAACTGCTGGTTCCACAAGACAGGAACCTGATAGCTGAAGGCTCTGCCTCCCATTCTACATTTAGATACTTGAGGAACCACAAGCGTGGTTAGCTGTTGCCTCACTGCCGGTTTGAAACTTGGCCAGGTCCTTTTTTGTGTGGAAGTTGCACTTTTTCCCTCTTGTATGTGTTTTCTTAATGCTCTGGTGACTCAAAATTGTCTTTAAGTGTGAATGTGTGTGAGTTTGTGTGTGTGTACAAGGCTGTTAGTATCTTGTTTGCTCTTTGACAAGTAACTGAGTGACTTCATCAGTATTTAGTGAGCAAAGATGGTGAAATATAGAGGTCTGTAAGGTCTTATTGACTTTGGTCATCGAGAGCCTTACAAGTAAATATTTGCTGAAGCAATCTGCATTAGTATTAGGCACCTGTAGTTATTTGGATATTGATAATAATGAATTACACTACCAGTCAAGGGTTTGAACACACCTTCTCATAATATTAAATGAAATGGTGTGTCCAAACTTTTGACTGGTAGTGTACGGCTAACTAATGTTGACGAGACAAAACTAAAACCAATTTATTTCTGCATTAAAAAGTGAAGTTTTCCAATTTAACACGAGTTAAATGAAGTCCCAGTCTTTTTTATGCAAATGTTGAAAGACATTATTTAGCTTGTAATAACAAAAAATAATTACATAAACATAAGAGCTGCAGAATAAAAAAAGACTTGTTTGTATAGAGTTTAGTAACATTTAGAAACATAATAAATTTAGACGTATTTTAAAGTAAATTAAAAAGGTTTTACATGCTTTATGCCTTTTGAATTTTGACTGTAATCAACTTAACAGATTGCTTTATCTGGTTTCACAAAACAAGTGGCATCTGCATAAGAATTAAAATGTAGAATTTATTTAAAGCACATATAACATGAAAGGCTTTGTTCCAAAAGCCAAACCTTGAGGCACACCTTTTATTGAAAATTTTGAAATCTTTATGGGAGGTTTTTTTTTTAGCTTTATGTGTTTCCTGGATATCCAAACACATGTTTAAGCTTTTGTTTAAATAAATAAATAAATAAATAAATTGGTCATCAAATGCAAACCTGGGATCCACCAGAAGAAAAATAAACTCTGTATAATCTGTATAAACTCTTTCTACAGCGTGCTCAGACAAGCCTGAGGCCAGGTAAAAACATGATCTGCTCTAATCCTGGCTGAAACACAACAAACCAATCACTGCTGAACATATGGTTACACTGATAATTTGCTAATTTCTTTTTAGGAATTTCCAAAAATATAGGAGATTAGATGTATGTTGGTTAACGCTCTGATCTGAGTTATTTTTAATATAATGAAACTAAAAGTTAGTTTTACCAAACTTTTAAAGCCACTTGATGATACACCAGTAAGAGTAGTTGAAAGTCATTTTCTGTCCAATAGAACAATTTAATTTTATTTGAACTTAAAATCCTCTTTGTGAAGATAAGAAAAATCAACTAAGCAACTATCTGCACTGCAGAACTAAAAAGTAGAGATTATAGTTGTTCTTATTAATTTTATATCATTCTAACTTGAAGGACTTTAGAGTTTTGGTAAATCATGCTACATCATTTGCTGGCCAGTAGGAACAAGCTATTTACATGGGCAAAGTCAGAGGCACTTGGTATTTTCTTACTTGAATGTAAAACTGCCTGCATGCTGGAGCAAGTCATGCAGAGAGCTGCTGAAGAAATAACTTGCGTAATAAAACGCATAATAAAACGCAACTCCACGTGCCCTCCAGATGATGTATTTGTGAAATGGATGGACAGAACTGTTTCTCTCTGAAGAGTTTGATAATATAACAAGACAAAGACCACTATATTTTATTTAGAGACATCTTTGGATAAATTCAGCACACTGAGTTTGCTTTTTTCTGCATAAATGAGAGGTCAAAGCAGGGCCCTGAAGCTTCCTCCCACTGGGACACATCCTGAACACAACCCACAGAAGATGGAAGCATTTTAACAGATGCCCAAACCAAATCAAATGGCTTCTTTTGATGCAGAATCAATAAATCAATAGCTTTGGCTTCTAACTTGCTGGTTTAAAGGCACAACACAGTGATACAGCACGTCCTAAACGTTTTACTCCCAGTCATGAATAGAACCCTAAAAGACTCAAAGAAGCATATTTTCTTAATTCGATCTGGAGCCCACTGAACTGGAAACTCTTGACCTCTTGGCTGCAGAAAGAAATTTGGTCCAAATTTAGATTCTGTGACACCTCAGAGACAAGAGAAGGGATGCTATTATTTCTTTCCTCCTAAAACCAAGAGCTCTCCTCGAGGTACATTCAAAAAACTCAATTATCCCTCTTGATAGTAGCCTGGCCCTCGCCTTCCTACACAGCTCCACTCAATTCTAGTTTCCCTTCACTGCTCCGTCTGGGACTTCTCCCATAGACAAGGATCTCTTCAGGAGAATTTTTTTCGGGCCAATCAGCAAACAGAAGGCGAAGTTTTGAACAACGTTGATTTTCTGCGCAGTGTCTGCTAGTTAGTTAAAGGCAGTGGAGGAAGTGAACAAAGCCAGTCCGTGTTGATAAGGCTTCCAAATTAAATTAAATTTGTCTGACAAAGCAGCAGCTCTCATTTACAGTCGTCTTGTTCGGCTCGAGACTTTTCTCCTCTCAGTAGGGTTGTTTACAGCGCACGCGATTTCCAGTTAGCTTCTTAGCTTAGCTTCCTTCACAGCAACATACGTCGCGGCCAACCGATCCAATCATTTTAAACTTCAGCAGAGGCCACGCCTCCAGCAAGAATCGCTTCTCTATAGCCGAGAGTCCAGACCCTCGATCCAATCATTTTAAACTTCAGCAGAGGCCACGCCTCCAGCAAGAATCGCTTCTCTATAGCTGAGAGTCCAGACCCTCGTACGAAGCAAAGTGAAAGACAAGGGTCTGGTTTTTACCAGGCTATCTTCACAGCAGAGTGTGAACTGTTTCCAGACGTTTTGGACTGGGACAGGAAACTTAACGACAAAAACATCAGCCACAAGTGATCTCCACGGTCATCATCTAGAAGTGGGCTAACATTATATATATCACTGTAACTGCATTTTGTTAACTTAAAAAATAAAACAAAAAAGGAAAAAACTAACTTAAGCATTTTAATTATACAAAGCATGGCTGGTTGAGAAGCCAAAGCAGAAGCAAAGATCTGCTTGTTTGACTGTATGGAAAGAAGGGGTGTTGTGTAATTATACCATTTGCATATTAATTCAATAACTCTGATATCAGTCATTTTCATACAAGTAAACTAGAGTTTTTTTGTTTAACTTTGTGAAATGTTACTGAGTTCTGTCTTACTTCTTTTCTGCATTAACTCTAATTTAGTCTAATAAAATAAACACTACCATTTTTTTGTAATATTGTCTTAAAAGATAACTTTCTGGTGTTTTGATTATAATTTAAGGTTTAAATGTCAGAATAGATGAAAAATGTAACTTATTTTATAGCCAAATTATCAGTTGATAAATCTTCCATTGCTTTACTCAAACTGCTACTTTACAAACCTTTAAATGGATCCCGATTAGTTGTAACATTAGACTTTATTTGATAAACATATATTTTAACTGTAAAATAAAGACTGTAAAAATACTGTAGGCTGTTTAGTTTTGTAAATTTTTAAAAATATATTTTAACACGGACGGAGCCATTTTATTTACAGGCAAAGCATTCTGGGTAAATGATGACGTGGATAGGTCATCGGTGCGAGGCTGCTAGCGAGCTGTATCCACCCTGAAGGTTAATCTTGGACAATATCTGATGATCGACTCTTTTAAATGAAACCAGAGAGCGTTGACAGAGAGGAGAAGGTAGAAATGACTCAGCCTGTAACTGAAAATATAGATGGAGGACAACAGAGCTGCTTCATGGAAGAAGAACCTCAGCTTAGCCTGTTAGTATTTGCGCTAGCGCAGATGCTATATTGCCTTATACTGTATGTATTAGCTCAGCGCTAGCGCAACAAACAAGCTAAACTGAGGTCCTCCATCCATATTTTCAGTTGCAGTCTGAGTCATTTTTGTGTTCCCCTCTCTGTCATGTGGATGGAGGACCTCAGTGACGAGAGGAGAATGTGTAGCGCTGAGCTAATACATATATATGGTGATAGCGTCAGGGCTAACGCTAAAGCTAACAGGCTAAGCTGAGGTTCTTCTTCCATGAAGCAGCTCTGTTGTCCTCCATCCATATTTTCAGTTACAGGCTGAGTCATTTCTACCTTCTCCTCTCTGTCAACGCTCTCTGGTTTCATTTAAAAGAGTCGATCGTCAGATATTGTCCAAGATTAACCTTCTGGGTGGATATAGCTCGCTAGCAACCTCGCGCCAAGGACCTATCCACATCATCATTTACCCAGAATGCTTTGCGTGTAATTAAAATAGCCCCGTCCGTGCAATATATTTTTAAACTTTTAGTTTAAAAATTATAAAAACTAAACATCCTACAGTATTTTTACTGTCTTTATTTTAAAGTTAAAATATATGTTTATCAAATAATGTCTAATGTTACAACTAATATGGGATGCCTTCAACATTAAGATCAACAATGTGAAATAATACTGAACTGTACAAATCAGCAGGTAATCATTCTGTCCTGAAAAGTGATGCATTGGAAACAGAAACAATTTGGAGGAAAAAAGGATTGAAGAATTGTGACAAATGCTGAACTGTGATGGCAAAAACGTTTTCCACAACTGTATTTTTCATAAAAACTTTACTGATCAACAATGAATCGAGTCTACCAAGAGTTGCTCAAAGATGTAAAACCAATGAGACATTATCTTGGCACCAGATCCAACCCTTCAGAAGTCCTGGTTAAATCTTTATAGACCTGGAGTGTTTTTTATTTTCAGGAGAATTAACTCTATGTTGGCCAAGTGGTCAAGATTTTATTATTAATATTATTCAATTAGTGTAGTGAGAATTAGACTATTGTTAATGTTTATAAGGGAAAATACACCTTAACAGTTTACGCTGACCAAAACAGGGAAGAGCAGAGAGGGTCACCACAGTTCCACCTTCAATGTTCTCATAGTCTTCATCATCCATGGACATGATTCCTTCCTATTCTACTCTAGAGCCTTCATCCACCTCCTCCTATTCATTCTCTAACTGATGATCAAGTTTCATGTGGCTTTGCTCTCAAAGGCTATAAGGCAACATGTAACAACTGCAGGCATTATGGCTGTCCCAACATCAAACTGGCTACAACAATCTGTTTTTTTTAATGAAATACGCCAAGCTGTATGTACCTTTACATAAACTTAATGTAAGCTGAACGCTGTGAGTAAAGATTCAGCTCAAACAATGTGTCATAGAACAGAAAGCAAAGGAGAAAATGCTTGCAGTAGAAAAGCAAGCTGTCTGAACATGCAAGGGTCTGAACATGTAATGATGGTGGTTTCAAGCTCCAAGCAATCCTGACTAAATATACTGATGGCTCAAAACTCCACAAGTGTGTGATTAGGTGTGTGTGTGTGTGTGTAGAGGAGGAGGAGGAAACTCACGTTGGCCAAGCGGTGCCTCAGGAACTCTTTCCCTGATGATACGGCAGGCGTCGTAGACCATTGTGGAGGGCTCAAACTGCATTGTTTTCACCACATTTCCCACATCGATCTTTAAAGACAGGGCAACCATGATTGCTGCTCTGCACCGTCACCCCACTCACACCTGTTCCAAGACATATAGAAACATATATTCAAGACACGACATCAGCAGTATATAGCTAGAAATCACATTCAATTCCATTATTATTAGTCTGAACTAAACCAGAAGTGGGAAACCATTCAAAACCAACAATCACCTGAATCAGCTGTTTCTTTTATTTGAATGGTTAATTTAGTCTGCACATACAGTATATTCTTAAGGAAATAATATCTTGAACAGTTAGTTGCATTTCTCATAAAATGAAGTAAGAGAAATGAAACAGCTAGATGTTTTGATTTATGTTTAAGTTTGATTTTAGTGCAAAGAAAATTTGCAATAACAACATACATCCTTAAGAGTGGGCCTTACTTCAGTAAAATAAGAAGTTCTCTTAGTAAGAAGTATATGCTTCTGGTCAGCTTAACAAAGTAAATATGAACACCAACTGTATGTTGTCAACTCTTCTGAAGATATGTCAAATAAGACGAACCAGCTTTATAAAATGGACATTACGCTTAAGATAAAAGTTGAAATTTCTTTCTTAGAGAAGCTAAACATCCAATTATATAGTCACTAACATAAAATAAAACACAGCTAAACATAGATGTTCAAACTTTTGCTTTCACCAGTTAACCCACACTTAGCATTGCTAATCATTTGTCTTCAACTGCCTTGACAAGTGTCCTAAAATGAACATTTTCACATGTGCATCTAGTTGAGTTTGTCCTGTCTCCGCATTGTTAACCACATCTCTAAACATCCTCTCTATGAAAGAAACAGAACTGTACATCTGGTGATCTGTACTCCATCTGTGGTTGATCTTTATCTTTTAGGTGCCTCAGATTAGTTTGTAAGTTTAATTATTCGTCTGAAGCCACACAGTAGATCTAGTTAAATAGATATCTGTGAAATAATATAATAGAAAGAACAGCTCTGCAGTTAATGCAGACTTTTAAAGAATGTATCACAAAACAGCATTAAACAGTATCTTAGGATGTTTAATGAACACCACCACTAGATCCACCCCCCAAACTGTCACTGAGAAAACTGTAGACACCAACATGTATCACATTTGTGGGCTTAGCAGTAGTTCTCAAACTGTGGGGCACAACCCTCCAGGGGGTCCTGGGTCTCACAGCATCACTCAGTGTTTTTTGTTTTCTTTCCCCTGCCAGACTGTAGTAGGCAAAACTAACACTGCAATGCCTCATTGCACACCATCCTAGTTTGGGAACACAGAAAACAAAACAATCTACCTAAAACTATATTTGTTAGTTTTCTCTTCTGTTTCTCGGTGTTGTCCAGGTTAACGCAGCTCTATGGACACAGCTCAGGTGAGTTCTGCTCCACGCCTCCGTCTCGCTTCGTTTCTCAGGTTGCTGCAGGACAGCTGATCAGCTGCAGAAGCACACACAGCCTGTTTGTGTGAATGTCTGTGTAACTGGCCCTTTTCAATATATTACACAGGGTTATAACTACATAAACAAGGTTTTGGCCATCTGGATGTGCTAAGCTTGCTTATATTTGGAACCTTATAGTGATCTATGTGATAAACGTAAAGCAATTAATGATCAAATTTGAAAAATAAGTTTGGTTTGGCATTAGGCACAAACAAGGCTGCTGTCTGACCCACATTAATGCATTAAACTCCACTTCAGCCCAGCTGAGTTTTGCTACACACCTCTTTTAGTTCCAGACTGCCCACTTCACATCTGAAAGCTCGTGTCTGTGCAGGAAGTGGCGGGTTTCACTTGTGATTTATTAAAAGCTTAATAACAGACTGGTCGGTGCGTTCATATCACCGAGTAGTTTTTTTTTTTAATTTGTTGATACTGTTTGCTTAGTTTGCCTCCATTCAAAAGGGCGCAAAATGTTTCCAAACAGCCACTTTTTATATGCCACACTGACAGATTGCCACATCCATCTTCTAAGTACACCATGGGTTAGAGACTGTACAGTCTTGACAAACTGTTGTAATTCCTATTTCAGGGCCCTCGTTTTCTGCTGTTTGCTGACTCCTAAATCTAATAATACAACAGATTTCAGCTATTTTTACTCAAAACCATCCACAGTTCTTCCCGTTTTATTATTTTGTCATTTTTACTTTAACTTTCTGTTCCTTCGCAGCTGGGATTTTACAATTTCACCAGTTTCTCTGTTTGCCTTTGCTCTATCAATGTTTCCATCCTATTTGAATGCAGATTTTGAAAGACCTTTTGTCACAAAAAAGAAAAGAAAATTTAAAAAAAGAGAAAGAAATACAAATTAGGCGTGTTTCCATCTACCGGTTTGGAGCATATTAACCAGGCTACGCAAAGCGTAATTCTGTCAGATGTTGACGTTACGCGTGGTTGTACTAAACAGGAAGTTGAGGTTACAAACTAGCAGAGACCACATATCTTGGGACAACTGAGAGAGGCTGTCAGGAATGTGTTGCTCTGTTGCCATGTTTTCACACGTTATAGGAATATCTAGGAAGATGTTGATGTAAATGTATACTTTACAGCAGAGATTCTTAACCTATGGGCCGCGGCCCAATTGTGGGCGACGAGCGCCACCTTGAGGGCCTCAAAAGAACAACAGTTTTTAACTTTGGGCTGCAGAGGGCCGCGGGACCGCATTGATTTTGAATAAGGTGCAATACACTTTCTCACCACTAGTAGTGGTAGTGCGCCACTAAGATGTTTAACATTTTTTTTAATATTTAGAAGAACCTTATACCTGCCAAAAATGAAAACCTATTTTAAATTAAAAGTAGAAGGCAAAAATGAAGGCAACTCATCAAAAAAGTTCGTCACTAATATGAAGTGCAACTTATGGTTCTACCATGCAATATTTTAAAAGTTTAAAATATTATCAAATACAGACTTGCAGATACTGCTATATTACAATTTTCATTTTATCATTTTTTTATTTATTATTTATAAAGCCTTTCTCAAAGAGGTCCATGACGGGGAACTTGAAGCCACAGCAGGTTCCACAGGACAGTGCTAACTTGCTTTGACAACAATTTGAAGGAGAAAAAAATCCCCATTTTTAGCGTATAAATAGAAAATGAAAAAAAAAACATCCATTTTTTTCAATATCTGTTTTTCAAAGAAATAAACGACTGACCAAAAAGTAAACAAGCCCAAAATGAGTACCTGAAGTAGACGAGTGTTTTAGGGACAGCCCTCCTGTCCAGTGAGATGATGATGGCTTGGTTGAACACCTCCTGGATGAAAAATGAAAAGGCAGTAATTAGGTTATAGTATTATTTATTATGCAGACACATTCACTGACCTGACCCGTCACATTTTAATGACCAAAAACAAGCCTAGCCTTCTTGAAGGAATGCATATCGCCCATCAGCATTTGTGTCAGTGTTTAATGCTAAGGTCCTCTTCTGAAAATTAGCTGGTTATTTGTAAAACTGACTGAGTTATAGTCATTGTTGTGTTTACTAAGGTTGATTAGCTGTGGAAGCTGGGCTGACTCCAAATGTTAATGAGTTATAGATGTAGAGCCACTGATTACTTCCTGCAGTGTTTCATGAGATATTTGGCTAACAGACAGGACAAGCTCCTACTGGAATGCATGTCTTTATTGTTTCTTTAAAACATCTTAGACATTTACTTTATATAGTGTGACAATTAGAAAGCAGTTTATAATGTTTTCATGGCAGCAGAGTAAAACTGCAGAGTGGGCTTTGCTCCACTAAACACCAGTGAAAACAGGTTTCCTGCAGCAGAACTTCCTGTTCCTCTGTCAGACATTTCATCTAATTGCTTCTTTAAGTCACATTCTGAGGTGTTTTAGGAGGAACAGGAGCCGGGTCAACTTGGATCTTCTCCACGGCTCTGAAATGACAGAGTTCTTGCGAGATCAGATGACTCGATGCCATTTCCTGTTTTTTAAAAGTTCTCCGATGCCATAAAAGGGCATTTCGAGACATCTGTATACTCCCAGCTATGATTCAGCTGGGAGTACAGAATCCTGCCTGCAATGAGTTTGTTTGGCTCAGGGGAAGATAAAAGCTCATTCACATCTCTAAAGCTTTCCTGTTCAAAATTACTCTCTGGCTTAGTGACTGTCTACCTCATTACTACTAATAACATTAAACTGAAAAGGTGTAACACAAGACTTCAACACTATAAAGCTAAGAATACTTTGCCCATCTACTCAAGAGGTCAAAACAAGAGATAATTTTGTTCCTAATTTAAAGGCCTGCTGACATCTGAAACGATATTGTTAATGTTTCCCAGTCCACCCAGAGGAAGTGCAGTCACAGCAGTAATTACTGTAGTTTCTCAGGAATGAGGAAGTATGCTAAACATACCCTAAAAATCCTGTAAAATAAAAAATAAATAATGATAATCAGCATAATACAGTTCTTAAGCTTAAAACAAAAGACTTCAAGTTAAAAATTTTTTGTCAAAGTTGGAAACAGAGTGATTTCAGAACAAAACGCCTGCGTTCGGTTCATTCTGCCCAGTCAGCATTTGGCTCGTGACTCATGTATAAGGCAGCACTAAAAGGCACAATGAACTGAGACTCAAACATTAATTTTGATGCTTAGAAAACTCCATCAGCTGTCCCAGTTTTCTGTCCATCAGGACCATGATAAAGCAGCCAACTGTCGCCTCAAAGCAAACATCCTGTTTGTCCCCACCAGTCAGATAGAGCTCGGCACAGCCCTATCATGTTCTGCAGGCCCAAATTCTGGAGGAGAAACTGTCCACAGACAAGCAGATGGATAATTGAATAACTTATCATTTTATGCTGAACCACATTTTTTACAGCAGCTTTTTAAAAGGGCTGATATATCCAACACTGGTTCTGGATGGCAACATCAAGCTGTTGTCAAATTCGGCTCCAGACTATGTTCAGCGCTTTGTAAGGAGGTAATGTTTGCACCTGTATGTGTTTGTTTCTCTAGTGAGTTAAAAAATTATCCCATCTCAGTGGCATTACTTTGCTCAAATTTGGTGTTGTAATAACTGAGTCATTTTACAACAAGCTGCGAGTGCTAACAGATCATTCACAAAACCGTCATTTAGCGTGAGACTGCACGTTATTTTCAAGGTTTGACCCAAAACAGCTATAACTCTCAATAATCAGCATAAGATGACAAAAGTATGGCAGGTGGCTTTAATTTATTCAAAGTATTAAAGTTTTAAGTGATTTCCTACTAAATCTACTCTAGATGAGTGCTCCAAAAATTATGAAAAACAGATTTTTTAAAAAGAAAATTTTCAACAGATCCTTCTGGTCTGACAAGTGGAAACAGAGCATCGTGCACTCATATTTATAACCAGTGGGGCGGCACCACTTTTGGTTGCTCAAGGAAAAAAATAAAATAGCAATAAACCATTTAAACAGTTCATATCTTTTTAAAAAAAAGACCTCCCGTGTGTTCAGCCAGTGATTTTCTTGAACCAAACAAACCTAAAATGAATGCAGTCAAACCTCAAAGCTGTCAAAGATGCACTAAACACAATATCTTTCCACTAATAACAGTTTTCACTCAGTGTAGCTTCCTTCAGTTCGACACAGATGAACATTTGGTTTTACGCTCCACAATTCTAAAATAAAGTGACTGAACATCTGTCTAAGAGCACTTCTGTCAGCACAATTTTGAACGATTTAACTTTCAAAAACCAATCTCCAAGTTTATCATCTCATATTTCACATCTAAAACAGGTGATTAATAATAAACAAATGACGTACAAAACCAGAGCCTCAAGAGGAAATTACATGTTACATTTACATTTTAAAAACACTATGGCCCAGTTTATATTACACTGTTTCTGAGTAAAACCGTAGCTTCTATGCTGCATTTTGGCCATTTGTGTACACAACAACAGCAATCATTTTCTTTGAAACAGAAGCTTTTTGAATCCTGGTCTCACAGTGGAGGTTTCTGGAGTCCCCCTGCATTGGTGCGAAATTGTGCATGTGCACTACGGACGGCTGCAGTCAGTAGATTTTCTGCACTTTTACGAGTAGATGAACAGTAACAATTATGGAGTGCTGTTTGTGCTACTCGCACTTTTCAATGTGTAGAAGTGACCCTAACTTATTTTTGGTCCAAATGTTTGTACATTCACAGTTTTAGTGGTGACTGTTTTCATGCTTGAGACTGAAATGTCTTTGTGCATGTAGGGCTGTGTATTGGCAAGAATTTGGCGATACGATACATATCATGACAGAGGGGTCACGATACGATATATCCCGATATATTGCGATACTGTGAGCAAGGCGATATATTGCGATTTCTTTTGTCCAAAAATTCTGTTAAATAAAAACCTCTTACTGGGGGTAAAAAATAAAAAACCAAAATTCATTGTCTCAGAAAATTCTAATACATAGACATACTTTTGATGCATTTAGCTGTGTTCTACTTTGTATGTGTTTTATGTTATTTGTTTCATATTTCTTATTTCATCTATG